GATGTTCTAGGGTTTCAGGATTGTTGATTCTCTGTTTGGCTTAGTTTTTCGGATCTTTGTTGTGGAGGGACGGCGTGGTGTTTCTGCCTAGAGCGCCATCTTGCCGGAAGTCCTTAATCCAATATCTTTTGAGGTATAAAAGAGAGAAGCAAGCAGAGACACATGGGGATCTCATACCACCAAGAAAGCAGTGCTGGGAGCAGAGTGTGTCTTTTGGCCCTGTGGTTCCTGCACTGAGATGCTCCGAGACCAAAGGAAGGCTGATGCATCACAAGGAGCTTCCTCCAGAGCAGACAGAGAGAGAAAGCCTTCTCTGGAGCTGGCACCCTGAATTTGGACTTGTAGCCTACTAGACTGTGACAGAATAAACTTCTGTTTGTTGGAGGCCATCCACTTGTGGTATTTCTGTTACCGCAGCACTAGATGACTAAGACAGGTGCCATGGGAGAAAGGTCTGACAATTTGCTTCCAAAAAATAAGTCATTGAAAATTGACTGAGCACAGTTCTACTCTGACACATGAGGTCACCATGAGTTGGAGTCAATTCCATGGCAACTGTTTTTTTAATTTATTTTTAAATCTCAGAGTCAAGTCCCTGGCTTTGCTATCAGGTAACCACTTAATGGTCTTCATGTAACTCTTCTTGTCTCTATGGTTTGACATGCATCTTACAAGGGTGTGATGGAGGGAAGGGAAGAAAAGGCTGTTTTTAATTTAACTTGTTCTCTGAGTATCTTTGGGTTTTCAGATAGTTAAATTTTATGAGGCTTAGTCCAGGTATGAATAGTTTGGAGGTGGTTGTTAGTTGCTCCAAGTGGACTCTGACTCATGGGGACCTTATGTATAACAGAAGGAAATATTGCCTGGTGCTGTGCTATCTTCATGATCTTTGGTATGTTTCAACCCATTGTTACAGCTATTGTGTCATTTCACATCACTGAGGGTTATCCTGTTTTTATTGGCCATCTAATTTATCAAACATAATGTCCTTTTCTAGAAATTCATCTTTTTTGATGATGTGTCCAAAGTAAGAGATTTGAAGGCTCACCATCCTTGCTTCTAAAGAACATTCTGGTTGTATAGCTTTGAAGACTTACTTGTGCATTCTTTTCGCTGTCCAAGGTATATTCAGTATTCTTCACCAGCATCACAGTTTGAACGCATCATTTCTTCTTTGTCTTCCTTTTTTCATTATCCAGCTTTCCCATGCATATGAAGCAATTGAAAAGACCATGGCTTAGGTCAGGTGCACCTTAGTCATCAAAGTGACATCTTTGCTTTTTAAAACTTTAAAGAGAGATTTTGCAGCAGATATCATTTGCCCAATGCAATATGTGTCAATCTTTCTGGCATTCTCTGCTTTCAACCACGATCCATCTGACAATAGCAATGATATCCCTCATTTCACATCCTCTTCTGAATCAAGCTTGAACTTCTGGCATTTCCCTGTTGATGTATGGCTGCAGTTGTTTTTGAATTATTTTTGGCAAAATTTTGCATCTGATATTAATGATACTGTTTGGTAATTTCTGCATTCCATTTGATTGCCTTTCTTTGGAATGGGCACGCATATGGATCTCTTCCAGTCAGTTGACCCGGTAGTTGTCTTCCAAATTTATTCGCATAAATGAGTAAGGGGCTTCACATACAGGGCCGAGGATCTTCTTATCCAGACAGGATCTGCCCTGAATAAACTGTGATTTGTGGGTTTTCCTTTTCTTTTGTGGTTGAGGCAGGAACTGTAGGGCAGAGAATTGTAAAACATAGAAGTGTAGATGTCAGAGAGCATCCTTGTTGCTCTGGTGACCAGATGTCATGTTTTATTTTAACTGTTTATCAGAGCTGGGGTTCAAATGATATGAATCAGTGTTTTAATTCAGTTTGTTTATAAGTCTACCTTGTCAATATGTTCATCTATTCATTTTGTTTACCAAGATCCTGAGGCAATTTAAATACCAGCCTAAAGCAGACATGCAGGTGATGAAATGTACTGTTCCATTTGAGATACTTGTTTCTCTGCAATTAGACAGTAGAAGCTGAGTGTGCCAGAAAGCTAAGGATGCTAGGGAGGTGCAAAGGAATGGATCATCATCATGGCAAACCTTGATTAGATTTTCTTATGGGATATGGAGGAGCAGGACGGGGAGTGGGGAAGGAAAGCTTTTATGCCCTGGGCATTCTCAGTCCAGGTGTGTAGAGTACCATTCATCTGTTCCAACTGTGCTAAAGGTCAAGCCTATTTTAGTCATTTGAAATGACAATGTCTTTGGAAAATTAAAATGTCACATTTTATTTTCTCTCTGTAGAATATTGGAATTTTCAATGGCAGGAGAAGGAGTGATCAGAAGACCGAGATGAATTTGAACACTATTCTAGAAGAGATTCTTATTAAAAGGTCACAGCAGAAAAAGAAGACATCACCCTTAAACTACAAAGAGAGACTTTTTGTACTTACAAAGTCCATGTTAACCTACTATGAGGGTCGAGCAGAGGTAGGAGACAATCAAAATTTACTTTGCTGCTCTCTGTGTTGATACTGTTTTATAATACTGTTACCACACTCCCTCCCCTCTCCAATCTTACAAAATAAGCTTTGGGTTAATGAAATTAAGGCAATGATTTGTTATCATTTGGAATTAAAAGATTAAGTCTAGATTATGCATAGAAATTGTTCACAATTCTGTTGATTATAGGTTTAGTATATATAAGTATACATTTTATATCAGCCTACTGAATTAATCTGTTAAAGAAAATAAATTCCTACATGAGTTTTAGATCCTTATGGAATTCCTAAATTGCCAAAGTGCTGAAAATCAAAACTTCAAAAACTCTTTTAGCTGCAAAATCTGACCTGTCTGTAAACCTTCACCTAAAGTACAATTTAAAAAAAATCTGACCTGATGTGAGATAATTTTAATCTTTATTTATCCTACTTTGTGAATATTCATTTTTTCCCCAGAAATAAAAATATATTTAATTATGGGGGCTGCCCCATTCCCTGCTGGGTGTGTTATGTAATATATGGTATATGTGCTATATCTCATTTGTAAAATCTGAAATTTTCTGAATTCCAAAGCACATTTGATCCACAGGATTTTAGGTAGGGATTCTGGGCCAGTCAACTACTGGAAATATGAATTATTTTAAAATCTAAAACAGATTTTAAGGGAGAACATTGATAAATTTGTGCTGTGTGGTAGTAATGTGTTCTAATTTGAATTTAATATAGTAAGCCTAAGAAAAAAATAGAAATGTGGCTATGAAAGTGGTAAAATGTGGTACTTTACTAACCAAAAGCCTCAGAAACATATATTATCTGCTTGGAAATATGGACTGATACTATTGAAATGCATTGCAATTGTTAACTCACTTTGAAAATGATAAACATACCAAGTTCAAAGTGCCCTGATTGCTTTAGTTTAAGTAGAAAAAAACCTAAAGAAAACAGTGGAATCCGTTTATTTCAGAACCTAGCCCTGCCTGGGAGCGGCCTCAGCCACCATGAGAACTAGAAAGGTCAGAAAGAGGAGGTCATGCTGTTAAAACCAGCCTCTATCACTTACCCTCAGAAGCCATCTCCTTTCTGGCTGCTGCCTGGCTAAAGCAGGGAGCCTGGGTGTGTAAGCTTAATTCTGGTTTAACACCTACTCCTCTGATGAGCTGGGCTTTTTGATCCCTCTGGGTTCCTTGCTCATAGACTACGTTCATCATCATACTTCTGACCTATGGCTTGGATATGGTCTGCAGGTTTGTTCGCCTGTCACAGTTAAAAACAAATAGTTGCCAATATTAAAAAAACTAGGAGATTTCACATGAGAATCAGAATTCTTCAATAGACGGGAGTTCTGACAATACTGGGCTGAATTCCCACACAGTGACTTTCTACCTGGCTTCTAGATGTGTTTGCAAGCCCAGTAATAGCTCCCTGTTGTGTTTTTTCCCTTTTGGGGTTAATGTGCCCAGTTCCCTGTTTGCCGTGGACAAGTCTTCTGGCTTCCAACTTCTCCCTAGAAGTTGTGTTACAAAAATACTGTGACCTGGGTCTTTTCTCTCAAGGACCACCCATCCAGCAGCTGTTCCGTGTCATTGTTCTGTCCTGCCTTATTCTTGCTTATTATCTAACTAGCTGAGGGCTCATACCATCTGCCACTCCTGTTAGTCAGTACAATGGACTCATCTTTTCCGAGGCCCTTTCCTAACAGGGCTCTTAATATTCTGCTTGATTTCTTCCTCTCTTCTTTGGGTTACAGGCACCCAGCATCTCCAGTGCCTAACATAGAGCCTGGTACATGCCACATAATCAGTACATGTTTGCTGAGTGAATAAATGGACCCATTTCAAAAAATCCGTGAGAATTGACAGGCATTTCAAAAATAATGTTTTGTTAGAAATATCAGGCTCTACATATGAGCAACTGCTCATGGTTGATACTAAAGGCATGATGTAGGTGAAATAATCCAAGTTGAGAATATAAAAAAAAAGTGGTTAAGAATGCAGCACCAGGAAACATCAACATTTAAGAGGGGTGTGGGGAGGTCATTAGCTCTTGTAGACATTGAACTTTGTCAGAGCAATTGTGGTAGAGTAGGCATGTGGAGTACATACAGTATGTTGGGTAGATTTGAGGAGGGAAATGTCATGGAGGAACTAGACCTTAGAGATGGGTGATAGCTAGACAAGAATGTAGTATGGGAAGAGTATTATCACTTCATGTTCTGACTCTCTCTTTATATATACACGCCTGTGTGTGGTTAAAAAAAAAAAAAACAACTCTAGAGGTTGATCAGAAAGACCATGGGAACCATTCAGGGGTTAAAATAAACAGACCTAGAGATATTTATTTTAATTTGTTCATTGTTGTTGTCATTATTAGGTGCTGTCGAGTCGGTTCCGACTCATAGTGACACTATAGGACAGAGTAGAACTGCCCCATGAAGTTTCCAAGGAGCAGCTGGTGGATTTGAACTGCCAACCTTTTGGTTAGCAGCCAAATGCTTAAGCACTATGCCACCAGGGCTTCAATTTGTTCATAGCCCTCCTGTTTTCAAAAGAAAAACAGTGGAGAGGCTATCAATTGATCTAGTAGCTGTGATTCCTAGTTTTCTTCGTGATAATCAAGTGTGGTATAACATTCCACTATACTTTATTAAAACTCTTATTAATCATAATCTTAGACATTCGTCCTTTCCTTGCTCGCTGGACCCCAGCTGCCTCAACATGATGGGCAACAAAGCTTTTATTGAATTTCTTCCTATTAAGTACAATTTATTGTGCTTTTCGAAGTATACTGAGAAATCCTGTTCTAGATGATGAGAAATTCAGTTAAACTGTTTCCTCAAAGTCTTATGTGACAAAACTTGTGGTTCAGTTTCCTCTGTGAGCCATTCTTTGGCTTGCCCTCCTTGCTGTTATGGTCGTTAGTCAATTAGTTTGTGTTTCTGCATATTCTAGTGAACTGAAAAAGAGATCTTCTTGGCAATTTATAGCGTTTGATCTTACTTGTAACAACACAGAACGAAAGACACTGGGGGTTTCATAAGTGATGTTGCTTTCTAGTCAGGGAACCAAAGGGCACTTGGTTAGCCCATGTGATGTTTCAGTGGAGACTCCATGAGGTAGTGAGAGATGAGAGCCAGCAAAGAGCAGGTTGGAGTTTCATCAGGAAAAAGGCCTGATTAAATAAGGGTGAGAAAGCAAGCAAGAAAGAGATTTCTGTGTGTTGAGATGTAGAATACCTCTGGACAGCAATATTTCTTTCTCAGAAAAAAAAAAAAAAAAAAAAAAGCAAGTATTAAGTAATCCGTAACTATCTATAGCTAAGAAATCAAGTACTAATTTTTTATACATTAGTAATTTTTATAATTGGACTGTATACTTCTAATTTGGGTGGTTTGCTGCCCTAGTATGGAAACTGTCAAATAGTTCACTAAGTCAAAGATGTGGGGAGATTAGTTGTGTAAGGGTCCCCAAGACCAACCCCAGGTTTGGTGATTTGCTAAGCAGACTCACAGGACTCAGCATATAGTCGTACTCACAGCTATGATTTATTATAGTGGAAGGATACAAAGCAAAATGAGTAAAGGGTAAAGGCTCATGGGGCGAAGTCTAGAGGAAACTAGGCACAGGCTTCCAACCCTAGTGGAGTCACACAAACCAAACCCATTGCTGTCGAGTTGATTCCGACTCATAGCGACCCTATAGGACAGAGTAGAACTGCTCCATAGAGTTTTCAAGGAGCGGCTGATGAATTCGAACTGCTGACATTTTGGTTAGCTGTAGCTTGCTGTAGCTCTTAGCCACTGCCATCAGGGCTCGGGAGTCACACAAGATGTCTTTAATTCCTCTAGCATTGAATTGTGAAAATGGTAAAATGTTGTCTACCAGGGAAACTCATTAGAGACTCAGTGCCCAAGGTGTTTTTTGTTTGCTTTTATTTTTGCAACCCTCACCAGTATCTATTTCCAACACATTTCCATCAGCCCACACAGAAACTGTACCCATTAAGCTATAACTACTCATCCTCACTCCTAGCCCCTGGTAACTACTTATCTACTTCTTGTCTCTATGCATTTGTGTATATAGGGTCTCTATGAGCCAGAATCGACTTGACAGCAATGGGTTATTCTAAGTATTTTATTAAGTGGGGTCATACAATATTTGTCCTTTGTCATATGATAATTCTATGTTTAACTTTCTTAGGAACCGCCAAAGTGTTTTCCTCAGCGGCTGCACCATTTTACATTCCTATCAGTACTGCACCAGGGTTCCAGTTTCTCCACATCCTTGACAACACTTGTTATTTTCCTTTTTTTGATAGTAGCCATCCTAGTAGATGTGAAGTAGTATCTCATTGTGGTTTTGCTTTTGCATTTCCCTGATAACATTGAACATCTTTTCATGGGCTTATTGGCCATTTGTGTATCTTCTTTGGAGAAATGTCTATTCAAGTCCTTTGCCCATTTTTTTAGTTGGGTTGTTTATCTTTTTGTTGTTGAGTTGTATGAGTTCTTTAAATATTCTGGATACTAGGTCCTTGTCAGTTATATGATTTGTACATATTTTTTCCCATTTTGTAGGTTGTCTTTTCACTTTCTTGATAATGTCCTTTGATAAACAGAAGTTTTAATTTTGATGAAGTCTAATATATCTATTTTTTTTCTTTTGTTGTTTATAGTTTGGTGTTGTGGCTAAGAATCGATTGCCAAGTACAAGGACCTGAAGATTTATCTCTGTTTTTTTCTAAGAGTTTTATGTTTTTAGGTCTTTTATTTAGGTCTTTGATCCATTTTGAGTTAATTTTCATATACGGTGTGAAATACGGGTCTAACTTAATTCTTCTGCATGTGGAGATCCAGTTGTCCCAGCACCATTTGTTGAAAAGCCTTCTTTTTTCCATTGAATGGATTTGGCACCTTTGTTGAAAATCAATTGACCATAGACCTATGGGTTTATTTCTAGTGCCCAAGGTTTTTACTGGGGAGTGATTACATAG